GCCACCCTCATCGCCACTAGGTAGGATCTAACCTGTATCCTTGCCTGTGTTCGATCGGATTCGGTTCGGCTCGCCCTCCAACTGCTCTCTAGGCGTCTTTTCCGGCGCTTCATCTCTCTCAGCTCCTCGGTAAACCAGGGAGCCAATTGAGATCTGCGCCGGGTCAGAGGCCGCAAAGGCACGACTCGGTCCAATGCTGTGGCAGCGGCCTCTTCCCAGGCCGCCGCCTGCCTTTCAACCGAATCGTGAGCTAGGTCCGCTGGATATGGCCCAAGCTCCATCTGGAACTCTCTGGGTCCATCAGGCGCCTGGGGCGGAACCATCTAAGCCTTCTAAATAACAATAACTCTGTATGTATGAGTTAAAGAAGGCAACATGTCTTTGAAGATAACTCTGACTTATATATGGACAGAGCTATATTGTTTTCTTGTTAATTATAGAGAAGTGATCTACCATTGCCTTTTTTTGGAATGTTTTTTGATTTCCTGTCCAGCCTATAACCCTGGAATTTCCTGGTGCCCTAGCATGCAAGCACTAACAAGATCTGATTCTTTTTTCAAGATCAACCACGATTTGTTACATTGCTACCACTGCTGTGACTAGCTCTGCTTTTATAACCTCTCAAGTATCATGATGCTTTAATGCTATTAATAAAATTGTAATAATTAATGAGAAGAGATCCCATGGGCAATATCCTGAGGACAAATGGAATGCAGGAAAGTTGGGAACTTCTCAAAACCAAGCTGTTGAACGGATAAATGCACAATATTCTGAGAAGGAAAAATGGGAGGGCACCAGGGGAAATCATTCTGTATGATTATTTTTGTTTTTTCCCCAATTTTAACTGAATTTAGAATCCAAAGGGTATATAAAAAATGGAGGATGGGAATAATCACTAAAGAGTCATGGCAGCACATAGAAGTAGCCTTTGCTTAATTATGGTAATTAGGACCAGTAACTCCATCCCTAAATAATGTGGTTGTAAGATGCGGTTTTAAAGTGCGACATCATGTGACTATGGTATCTTGCCACAGCAATTGTGGCTTAGGAGAATACTGCATGATTACAGTGTCCTATGGTCATGTGATCACTGTTTGCAACCTCCCACCAGCTTTCCCAATGACTTTGCTTATCAGAAGCTGGCAGCGGAAGTCACAAATAGTGATCAAATATTCCAAGATGCTGCAACATTGTAATTTCAAGCTGGTTGCCAAGTGCCAAAATTATTTGACTGCAGAAACACTGAGAGAACTGCAATTACAAAGACCCATTGTCAGTCTTCATTCAACATTGTACCTGTTATCTAACAAAATGAAATTCAATGGTGAAAAAAGTAAGGTTCTACATTTAGGCAAGAAAAACCAAATGTACAGGTATAGTATAGGAGGTACCTTGCTCAATAGTAGTAACTGTGAGAGGGATCTCGGAGTCCTAGTGGACAATCACTTAAATATGAGCCAGCAGTGTGCTGCAGCTGCCAAAAAAGCCAACACAGTGCTGGGCTGCATTAACAGAGGGATAGAATCAAGATCACGTGAAGTATTAGTTTGATCTTCTTTATATTTAATTTTAATCCCATTTTTTCACTATGCTCATTGACTTTTATTACCAGACCTTGCAGATTTTTTGCATTTTGGTTATTAAATAGTATTATAAGCATGGCGCAAATTATTGATGTTTCTTCCTCCAATTTTAAAATCATGCCCATCTTCTTCCAATCCAGCTTCCCTTCATATTGAGCATGTAGGATGAGTAAATGAAGGAAGAATATATTTAGCAGACATTTCATAGGACTTTAGTGCAACTTTAATAGTACCATTGAATGAGAAGTTGTTGAATTCAAACACATCAAAAGCTTTTAGGCAATTTCAGAAGATCTCAACCATCACAATATGTTTTAACACATTATGGTATTTAACTGATGTGCTACTTGTAATTTGCCTTACAGAGGTAGCCTGCATCTGCATATCCAAAGTATTTTCCTCTCCCATTCTCTTTCCTCCAAGACATCCCCCCCTCAAGAAAGCTTATACTTAGTAATAATATTTGTTAGTTGGAAAAGGTGTTACAAGAGACCATATTTTACCCCCACTCCCACCCCAAAAGTTAAGAAGTAGGCAGATAACACCTGACTAATATGGAATGAGTTTATATCTTCAAGAACAAAGTAGCTACATGCAAGAGTCTTGAGGGAGGTTGAGAATGTCATCTTGCAGCCCTTATTGTGATCTTTGGGAAATCTTGTACGATGGGCTTAATGCCAGGAACTGGAGTAGGGTAAATGTTGTCCCTATCTTCACAAAATGGAAAAAAAGAAGTTCCAGGTAACTAGAGACTCTTTTACTGCTACCCTGATTTACTACTAGGCAAAATATTTGGCACAGATTTTAACCAGTCAGTTGGTGAGTATTTAGAAAAGAATGCATTGCTTGGCA